GCCCCATTTCTTTACATGCCTGGTAATTTTTGATTGGATGCTGGTCATTGTATTATGTTGTTTAAAGGACTTTGTTGTAATATACCAATAAGTTCCTTGCAAATCAGTCTGAGCCTTTGGAGCCTTGCTTTTTATTTTATTTAAAAAAAATTTTCAGATGGTACATGTACTCATCAGAGAGAGAGAGAGAGAAAGATAAGATGAAATCACTCCCCATGGAGAATAGTCATACCACTATCCCTTTGCCCCCACTTTTTCCTCCTTTCAAGATTTTGCACATGTACAGCGTAGTTTTCAGTCCCCCAGTTTTGGTTTCGAACCACACATTCAGCTTTGTGGGATCCAGCTCTTTTAACCAATAACTCCTTTATTATGATGCGTCCAGAACAGTCTTCACTCTAAGCTTAACTCAGCATCACTAGTAAGTTATAACTTTTTGGAGGACTATACCAAATGCCCTGAGGTCTTTCCACTTTATTGCTTTATCTGGCCTCCTGAAATTTCATCCCCGTACTTGCACAGATCATCACTCAGTCAAAGCCTTGAAGGGACTTCTCTGCAGATCTCTGGAATATTATGTCTCTTCAGCTCTCTTCCTTTCATACTCCGCTATCCTGCAAATTCAAGTGACTTTGATTTCCTTGAGTAATCTCAACTCTTCAACTCAGTAGGACTGTTGAGCTCCGCTTGGGCTCCTACTTCCTAAGTTGTAGTCTAGAAGCTACCTCCCGGAAGTTCCTCAGTTAAGATATGTCTCATATTTTTCTCACAACTGGACTAGAGTTGTGTGTTTTGGGGAGGAAGACCACAAAGATAGAGTGCCAGTCTCATTGGATTATATCAAGGGTATATGCTACCAATGTAGCATGTTGATGTTGCTCTTGATACCAGGTTGAGGTGGGCTGGCCCTTGCTGACATGGGCTTTATGTTGGGGAAAGGGCGGGGGTGAGGCTACAGTCTTTCCTGTACAGTTAGCTTGTCCAAACCAGAGTCTAATCTGGAACCAAGCATTGCATCTGGTTGCATGGTCCTTTGTGTTCCTTTTAATGTAGAATAAATCTTTTATTTAATATGCAAATTTGTTGAAATATTGGAACAGTTGTCCTATAGAACTCTATGTCATTAATTTATCCTAGTATTCATTGTATTTTGTATGTTCTTGTGTTTTTCTATATTTTGTAATTAGAAGTTAAATATAAAGACTTGAAATATTCAAATTATACATTTTTGGCTAGAGTGTCTATATAAAGACTTGAAATATTCAAATTATACATGTCTGGCTAGAGTGTCCCTTTCTAAAAAAAAAAAAAAAGAAAGAAAGAAAGGTTTATTTATTTATTTCTTCCATGAGTGAGCAGGGCACCCCCAAAGAGGTCTTCATGCCACAATTCACTCCCAGGCTCAGTCAGCCCCGGGTCACGAATACATGCATTTTCATGTTAAGAGGATTTTCCTTTTAAAGCTGACTTCTTATGTGTCCATCCCCACGTAAGCAGATACATTTATTTTCTTTTTGTCTCTTGGTCCTGGTGATCGACTTCTGTGAGGATGAAGGGAGTGGACTACCAGAGTGCCCTTTGTGAAAGGGTCTATCATTTAAGATTCCCATGATAGCCCATACAAATCCTCTCTGCCACAAAGAAGGTCTCACAGCTCTATGGAAACTGCCTAATACCATCCCCTGAGTTGCCGTTTTTTGTCTAACGCGTAGTCCGTGTTATGTAGGTCCTTTGCGCTGTGCTTAGCCTTTTAGATGTTATTATCCTTGATTCCGCTTCCTATTTCTCCATAGACTGTTCTCACTTTTACTTCCTGGTTTAATTCCGAACTACCCATCCCCTTACCAGGGTCTGGGCCTGGTACAAGAAAGGAGACTGGAGATTATCATAGAAAACAGAAGACGAACCTTTCATATTTAAGACACCACTAATGAAACAAATAAGATTTTATTTCACTGTCTTTGCAGATGAGAGAGAGCAGTTCAAATATGACTTCGTGATAGCCTAAACTATAGGTCTTGTCCTGTGTTTTTTTCTTCTTATTATTTTTTAAAGAATTATTTACTTTTATTTATTATTATCATTTTTTAATTTGACCAGAGAGACAAAGAGAGAAGGGAAAGTGAGAAAGCAAGCCACCAGATCCGGGACTCAAATAGCAGTTGGCCATGTGGGAGTCCAGTGCCTTAACCAACATGCTACCTGCCAGCCCCTTTGTCCTGTGTGTTTAATGGGGGAACCCAATAAAGATGACTAGCACACAGTGCCTTCCCTCAAGAAGACAGCTTGTCAACAAATCATTGTAAGCCACATGCTCTAGTCTAAAAGAGAACTTCAAAGTGCTGTAGGACCAATCACTTGTTTTAGGGTGGAAAAGCGCCCGTGAAACCATGTTTTACTGCAGTTAAACTCTTGCTGCTTCACAAGGCCGTGCATGAATTCTTCAGTCAGAATGAAGAATGGAAGGAGGCTTGCTCCCTGCCCTGTCTCCCTGTCCCCTCGACAGTATGTTCTCTTGTACTATGAGTGCCATCCTCTCTCCTGACTGTGCGTTTAGCATAAATGTGCCGAGGTGATGTGCCTCTCTTGCCTCACTCCCAATCCAGGCCCCTTCATTGGCAGTTTTTCAATCTTCACTGTCCTCTCTGAGGCTGTCCTGTGTCACCTCCACCCCCTCCCCATCACTGCCCAAAGCCTGTCCTAGACCTGTTCAGACCTGCTCAGACCTGCCATTCAAGGGAGAGCTCAAGGCTGTCCTCTGGACTTCTCTGCTCGCCTTCCTGGGCTACATCCACCCTGGCCTGGAGAGGGTTAGTGGGCAATTAAACATTTAAGTGAAAAGTTATAAACATTTTTTAAATGACAAATAACAGTGGTATGTGTGAAAAGTCCTTATAAATATTTCTCTCTTTTTACAATTTTTTTCTTTTTCTCTTTTTTTTATTTGGAGAGGTTTTCGTTATAGGGCACATGCGCTCACCAGAATGACAGAGAGAGATAGAAAGCAAGAAATCACCCTCCGGGGGGGATGGTCACGCCGCAGTCCCTTCTCCTCCATTCTCCTCTCGTGATCTCAGGCACGCGCACACACGAGCCCAGCGTGAGTTTAAGCCACCAGGTCTGGGACTCGAACCATGATCGACTACATGGGAGTCCAGCGACAGAGCCATTATGCCAACTGCTGGTCCCGCCTTTTTAAAATTTTTTAAAACTCATTTTGAGGGGACCAGCAGGTGGTGTGGTGGTTAAGACGCTGGACACTCCCACATGGCCAACCACAGTTCGAGTCCTGAACCTGGTGGCTTACTTTCTCACTTTCTCTCTCTCTCTCTCTTGTTCTTTCTCTGTCTCTCTCTGGTCAAATTAAATGAATGAATGAATAAATAAAGTTAGATAATTCTTTAAAAAAAAAAAAAAACTCATCTTGAGTCACTTTGTCTTTTGGAATCGATCCCAACGGCAAGGTAAAGGGAGGGATAGTGATCTATAAAGCTACTCACCACAGTATTATTTTCAAAAGGGGAAAAATTGGACACTAAGTAAATGTCTAGAAATAACTACCACTAGAAATCTTGCTTTTGGAAAATAGTTGATAACCTACTGAAAATGCTTGGGATGCATAATTAGATAAAATTACTAGAATGCTGAGTTGGGTACATACTCCTGAGAGGTAGCCTCAGTACTCACTGCAAGCTTTGTAGTGAGACCAGAAATTGAATGATAGCTTTGTCCTTCCTAGCTATGTGACTTCGGTCAACTTTTCTTAGCCTGTGAATGTTCATCTTCAAAATCGTGATAGTATCATGCTACCATGCAGAGCTGTCCTAAGGTGTGTGAAATACTGGGTCTGGCTCATAGATACGGTTGTTTTTGTTGTTATTATAATTGAATTAGGTGGGCTGTCACTGCTGGACTGGAGGGGACAGGAATCCCCAGGGGATCTGGTGGTGGGATGGGCTGGGGGATATTCCTATACTTATAAGAGCACAGAATCACAGAATGGGGTAAATATGGCAGAGGATAAGGCAAAGAGGTTGGATGACCAAGGCAACCAATGCTCCTCAGTCATAAAGACAATAAAGACAGAAGTTCTCTACCAGGTCAGACTCAGTTTTCTAAACTTTGGTTACATGGTTGCTTTGCCTTTCTGGCTTGACCTGTGAGGCTTTCCTTGGGAGAGCTCCAAGAGAATACCAAGGAGAAAGGGGATATCTGAGCCTCAGAACTCCTTGCTTGAGACTCTGATGATCGCGGCCCAGTACCTTAACCACAGGAAAAACTAGAATGCCTTCTACTTGGCTTAACGATGGAGATTTATGTCTAGGAGAGAAGTGAGACTGTAAGGCCCAAGTCTTGCCAAAGGAGAGACAGGCCTGTCCCACCCTGCTGGCACGGGCAGGAAAACTGACGATATCCTGGACTTTCGCTTGGGTCTGGCAGTGCTTGTTTGAGCAGATAGCATCTTTATTTACTTACTTATTTATTCACTTACTAAGAGTGATTTTTCTATAGGGCACATGTGCTCACCTAAGAGAGACAGACAAGGAGATAAAAAGTGAGAAATCATCCCCTGGAGGGATGACCATACCAGAATCCCTTCTCCTCCATTCTTCTCTCAGGATTTTTGGGCATGCATGCACATGCACATGGTGTGAGTTTCAAGCCGTCGGGTCTGGGGCTCAAACCGTGGTCAGCCATGTGGGAGCCCAGTGCCTTAATTACTATGCCACCTGCTGCCCCGAGCAGATGGCATCTTAACCTTTGCTTAGTTAGGACGTAAAGGAGTTTCAGCTCATGGGGTACATAGGGAGTTTTTCCCATGAACTCAGGAAGTGGGGAAGGAGGTTGGAAATGTCACCAACGCAGTACTCCAAACAGCTCCTGCCTAGTCCTGCAGATGCCAGATGAATGATTTCCCTAAGTCCTGGGCCCTAAGCCCAGAACTCTATAGAGTTCTGAATCCACAGCTCACGGGTGCTTTTTTTCTGCCCTTTCTGCAGTGATGAGATGCCTGGGGATCCCCACCCGTGTAGTCACCAACTTTGACTCTGGCCATGACACAGATGGAAATCTGATCATAGATGAGTATTATGACAACACGGGCAGGATTTTGGAGAATAAGAAGAAGGATACGGTCTGGTGAGAAACAACCTTTCAGTCTACTTCTAGGCCCACGGTCAGAGCCAAACCCCACTATCAGGAAGTAGAGCAGGTCCACGCCCACGAGCCTGCTGCCCCTCAAGTCCTCTACCCACAGCCCCTAGCAGCCCCTCCTCTATTCCCCTTGCCAGTGTTGAACTGGAAGATGGCCAAAGGGAGCTCACTTGGGGTTTAGAATCCTCCATGATAAGAGCTCTGCCCTGAGCTTTGTCATCTCCCCCGTCTAGTACTCAGGCTATGGCTCTGACCACAGAGGGCCTTCTGCTGGACCTAGAGACCACGAATGCCTCTATGAGGCCACAACACTTAGGAAAAGGGCCCTGAAGACCATTTTGAAAAAACAAAGGATTTCTGACTTCAGTGGCTTCTGGAAGCCTTTACTTTCTGCCCACAAAGAATCAGAGTGAAGCTCTTTTCTGGGCAAACAAATGCAGGCTCACGGGGGAAGAGCCATCACAATTCACCCACAGAGGCCTCAAGCCCTGTGGTGTGCTGAGTCTGTCTTCCTCACTAACAGTTCATCTGCTCATCCACCCGCTCCCTCACTCTAAAAGAACAAGAAGTACAACCGTTCCCTTAGCTTCACTTGACACTCACTTGCCTGGCTCTCCTTCAGGAATTTCCACGTCTGGAATGAGTGCTGGATGGCCCGAACAGACCTCCCTCCTGGATTTGGAGGCTGGCAGGTGCTGGACGCCACACCTCAGGAGACAAGCAATGGTGAGGCTCTGCGAAGAAAGGCAAGACCTACTCCCACAGAAGGTGCCCCTGCCCCTGCCTGGCCCTGCAACGAACGGCCCACCGAGGCTCTCCTGTTCTCCTTCAGGCCTCTACTGCTGTGGCCCAGCCTCGGTCAGAGCCATCAAGGAAGGAGAAGTGGATCTGAACTATGACACACCCTTTGCATTCTCTATGGTGAATGCTGACTGCATGTCCTGGTTGGTCTACAGAGGGACAGAGCAGAGACTCCACCGGGACACGAGTACTGTTGGCAATATGATCAGCACTAAGAGCATCCAGGGTGACGAGCGGGATGACATCACAGAGAACTACAAGTATGAAGAAGGTACGGCTAAGCCAGTCCCACTCAGAGTCCCAGTCCTGTGCAGGGAGCCAGTCAGAGAGCACCTGCGGGACAAGACCCAGGTCCGCGTCTCCTCAGTCATTCCACTTTAAGGTTCCATTTGGGGCGTTCCCACTGCCTCACTTCTTTCTTGTCCCCCACCCTGCAGGCCAGGGAGCTCCCTCCAGAAGAGGTGCGTGTTGACTGTAGAGCCATTCATAGGCATTCCACAGACAAAACGGGACTTCTTTGCCCTGCTTCCCTAAAAAAATCAGCCTCCCAGGGACCAGCAGTTAGCGTAATGGCTATGTCGCTGGACTCCCACGTAGTCGACCGCGGTTCGAGTCCTGGACCCGGTGGCTTAAAACTCACACTGGGTGCACGTGCGTGCGTGCCCAAGATCCCGAGAGGAGAATGGAGGAGAAGGGATTGCGGCGTGACCATCCCACCCTGGGGGGTGATTTCTCTCTTTCTGTCTCTCTCTCTCTGTCTGTCTGTCTGGCGAGCGCACGCGCCCTATAGTGAAAACCTCTCAAAAAAAACAAAAAAAAATCAGCCTCCCACTGAGGATGGCAGGGCACTTAGTAACTCTCTCAGACTAATTTAGTTTCTTTTATTTAGCTTATTTTTTAATTAATTATGGTTTTTGAAGTTAATTTATTTCTTTTTAAATAATTATTTATTTAATTTTATTTACTCATTCATTTATTTTCATTTGACCAGAGAGAGACACAGAAAGAGAGAGAGAGAGAAAGGGAGGGAAAGTGAGAAAGCAATCATCAGATTTCAGACTCAAACCGTGGTCAGTCATGTGGAAATGTCCAGCGACTTAGCCACAACATCCTCCCAAAGTTAATTTCTTTCTTCCATGAACAAGAGATAGAGGGAGAGAGAGAGCAACCCCAAGAGGGTCCTGATACTGCAATCCACCCCAGCCTCAGCCAGCCCTGGATCCTGGCGTACTCAGAAAGGTCTCTGGGTGCAAAGCCAGGACCTTCCCTTGTGGGTCATCCTCACAGAGGTTCAGATTTTACCTCTGTACCACTGTCCAGCCCACTAATTGTGTTTACTAAGTGTTTAAAAGACAGGCCAGATCACTAACCAGCAACCAGGTTGATGTAAGGTCACAGGTTCACTCCTACTCCCACCTACTGGGGGACAGCAGGGTCAGAGGATATTCTGAGGTGAGAGCCTTGGAAGGGACTTCTTAGCCAGGGCCAAAGCAGAGGCTAAAAGGGTTGGGTGCAGTCAAATTCTTAGGAATTGAGGAAGGCTAAGCACTAAGTCCAACTACCAAGGAGCCAAGCAAAGTATCCAGCCTATGAGGGCCAGAGCAGGGCCAGGAGGCAGAGCTGGGATCTGGCAGTGGCAGGGTCTGAGCAGGAGCAAATCAGGGTGAGTGGTGGGTCAGGGTAGCTGAGCAACTGCTGGGGGGACTGTGAGTGGGTACATGTGATTGTCTATGTGGGCCTTTGGGACCGACACAGAGATGCTCCAGAATCCCAGCCTGGGAAGAGGATTCACAGCAAAGGATAGCAAAGGATTGACAGCAGAGGATTGACATAGGCCCAGCAGTACCATCGCCGCCCCTCCTCCTTGCTGGACTCTCAGAGGGGCTGGCTTAGTTATACCTTCTTTGTTATTGGAAATGAAGGTTTAAGCCCTCCAGGCCCACAGCATTGATGGACTCTGGGGTCATCTTGCGTTGTCCTAAAAACAAATCCTGAGAAAAGGATGCAAGTACCAGTGAGGCAATCCAGGAAATACTGGTAAGAGAGAGAGAGAGTGGGACAGGGAAGAGGAGGAAGCCAAGATAGAGTGCATCTTCAAGCCTGTCTGCACCAAGGCAGCTGGAACTTACTCCTGCGGGGAGCTCTGGGAATAGGCTTGCCAGGGAAAAATACAGGATGAAGCATGCTTTAGTGGAAGTGGGTCCCAAATTATTTGCTGTTTGTCTAATTCAATGGCTCAATGGCTATGTATTTTTATTTGCTAAATCTGACTCTGTAAAATGTAGAACAGCACAGATTAGTACCGGAGGCAGGCAGAGGGGCTAGGGGATTTATCCTCCAGCTCTCCCTAGGTCATGGGTTGAGGGCTGATCCTTGGGGGTGTAAATTCCTTAGTACATCTGGCCCGCACTGTGTGTGGCTGAGCTGGCTCTGGTGGCAGAGAACATCTCAGACAGTCACAGAAGCTACAAGTTGAAAGTAGAGCCTGTTGGGGCCAGCAAATGGTCTAGCAGTTATGTTATTAACTCCTACATGGCTGACCATGGTTCGAGTCCCGAACCCAGTAGCTTGAAAATCACGTTGGGTGCATGTGCATGCATGCCCAAGAACCCAGGAGGAGAATAGAAGAGAAGGGATTGCAACGTGGCCATCCCCCAGGGGAGTGATTTCTCACTGTCTCTGTCTCTCTCTCAGGCAAGTGCACATGCCCTAAGGCAAAAACCTCTTAAAAAAAAAAAAGAGAAAAGAAAAAGAAAGTCGATCCTGATGGCACTGAAAGGTATTGGCAGTATTTGCTGCAGACATCTACAGGGTCTTCTGTGACCTTGGAGGGACTGGAGTTATACATATGCCTTGCAGGCCTGAGGGTTCTGCTCAGCAATGGTCCTTTTTTTAAAAAAAGAATTATTTATTTAATTTCATTTATTCATTCATTTTATTTTTTTAATTTGACCAGAGAGAGACAGAGAGAGAGAGAGAGAAAGTGAGAAAGCAAGCTACCAGGTCCAGGATTTGAACCGTGGTCAGCTATGTGGGAGTGTCCAGCGCCTTAACCACCACATCACCTGCTGGTCCCAGCAATGGTTTTTTAGGTCAGAGTAGTCTGTCTCCTTCCATCCATCAGGAGAGAATCTGGAAGCTGAGCAGACCACAGATGTACTTCATCTGATTCCCCTGTCTCTGGGTCCACTCAATTTTTTTTTTTTTTAAAGATTTTTGCTATAGGGCATGTGTGCTTGCCAGAGGAGGCAAAGAGAGACAGAGACAGAAAGCGAGAAATCACTCCCTAGAGATGATGGCTATGCATCAATCTCTTCTCCTCCAGTCTCCTCTCAGGATTTTGGGCACACTCACACACACACGTGTGTCTGGCATGAGTTTCAAGCTGCGGGGTCTGGGACTCAAACCACGGTCGATGATGTTAAGGCCAGAGCCTTAACCTGCTGGTTCAGGGCCCACTCTCTTTTTATTTTTCTATTTTCTTTTTTTAGAGAGATTTTTGCTATAGGGTGTGTGTGCTCACCAGACAGATAGAGAGAGGCAGAAAGTGAAAAATCACCCCCCGGGGGATGGCCACATGGCAACCCCTTCTCCTCCATTCTCCTCTCAGGATTTTGGGCACACATGCACACGTGTCCAGTGTGAGTTTTAAGCCACCAGGTCTGGGACTCGAACTGCGGTCAACTACATGGGAGTCCAGAGAGGTAACCATTACACCATCTGCTGGTCCCTAGGGCCCAGTCTTACTCAAGCAAATGTCTCAAGATCTTTTTCTGCCTGAAACCGGGCATAGAACAACTCCCAGAAGGACTAGGCCCATAGTGCAGTGGTAAACGCTGTGCAGAGGAAGCCAGGTCTCTCATGGCTGACTGGTTTGGATCCTGGTCCTGGTATATATACATGGGCCCGGGATCCTGGTGGGATGGAGAAATGGAGGAAAAAGGACTGTGGTATGACCAGGCTCATTGGAGGTTCTCTCTCTCTCTCTTCCTGTCACACCACACACCCTCTGACAGAGTTAATTAGTTATGAATTATTTAAGAGAAAGAACAACCCCCAGAGCAAGTGGATAAGAGTGGCGTCTGTCTCAGGAGATTGTGGGGCGAAGCTAGTCCCTGGGGCAGCAAGCACTCAATGAAGGCAACTTCAGGGACTTTTAGGGACTCAAAGGAAAGTGTTCCTGCACATCCCACATCCTGCCACAGACTCCCCCAGAGACTCAGCAGGGGGAGTCTACGCCACTCTGGGAACTCTGCCTGCAAGTCTTCTTTTATTTATGTATTTATTTATAGTAGTAGTAGTTTAAGTATAGAGCATATGTGCTCACCAGAGAGAGAGAGAGAGAGAGAGAGTGAAAGTGAGAAATAACACCCCACGGGGAACTGGGGAACGGCCACACCGTAATTCCTTCTCCAGTCTCCTCTCAGGATCTTGGGCACACATGCACAATGGCCTGGCTTGTTCTCAAGCTGCTGGGTCCAGGACTCGAACCATACAGTGGGCCATGTGAGATCCAGATCCTTATCCCTATTATTAATTTTTTATGGTGCTTCTCAGTTTATTCATTTCCAAGAATTCATCTACATCTGACCAGTCATTTGGTTCTGGAACAGAAAATTAGACCATGCTCTGCTGTGTTTAAGATTATTTCTTCATATTTGGGGGCTTTTGTCTTTCCCTTGAGGCCAGCAGGATAGAGTTGACTGGTTTTAGGGTCAGGCAGATTTAGTTTCCACCTGAGATTTGCTTCTTGTCCATTGTTCCTTGAGCAAGTGATATGGCCTCTTTGAGCCTCCTTTTCCTCATCCATATATGGAATAATAATAATGGTAGTATTTCTCATCATCAATATAAAGATGAAAGGTAGGAGTCCTCAGCAGTGCCTGACTCTTCGAAAGCACTTGATGAATGGGAGGGAGTGTTTGTTGTTGGAAATTCAGGTTTTGGCTCCTCCTTCCCTCCATATTGATGAAAGTGTTGGGGGTGGTGGTCAGCCAAGGCTTACCTCTGGTTTGGCCTGATTCACAGCTGATGCCATGCTCTGTCCTCCCAGGTACCCCCCAGGAGAGACAGGTGTTTCTGAAGGCTCTCCAGAAGCTGAATGCTGGGAAGTCCCTGGGCCCTCACCGAGCAGACTCACAGGCTGGGCCCGTGTCCCTGAGTCAGGGCAGTCCTCGGAGCTCAGGCGCGTCTTCCCTTCGAACTGCTGACATCCAGATCTCCCTGAAGTTCAGGCTGCTCGACCCACCCTACATGGGCCAGGATATAAACTTTGTCCTGCTGGCCCTCAACATGTCATCCCAGTTCAAGGACCTCAAAGTGAACCTGAGTGCCCAGTCCCTGCTGCATGATGGCAGTCCCCTGCCCCCATTCTGGCAGGACGTGGTGTTCATCACACTCACTTCGGAAGAAGGTATGGGCTTTGGGTGTGGGCATAGGACAGGCCATGTACACAGAGTTGGCCATGTCGATGCCAGTGGGTCAAACCAGCCAGCAGGGTTCTAGAGACAAGTCTCTGGGATGACGTTCTTCCTACCGTCCCCTCCAGCACAGACAGACTCCTCCTCCTCCCTTTTCCTCCTCTGCTCTCCTTTCTTTTCCCTTCCTTTTCCCCTCCTTTTCCACCTCCTCTCCCTCTCTCCCTTCTTTATATCTCTAAGGAAAGTAGCTAGTTTAGGGGGAAAGCCTGAGTTTTGGAGTCACCTAGTCCTTGGTTGCAGCTTAGGTCACCCACTTCCCAGCCATGTAGCCGCAGGCGAACTGTCACACCTCCCCTAACTTCAGTGTCTTCATCTGAAAGCGGTATTATAATAAACCTTCTTATCGGAGGTTTCATTTTCTATGGTTCCCGTTACCAAAAATAGGTGAATACTGTATTCACAAGATTTCTTCCCAAGAATTATTTTTTATTTAACTTTATTTATATTTGTTTGTTTGTTTATATTTGGCCAGAGAGGGACAGCATGAGAGAGAGAGGAAAGGAAAGTAAGAAAGCAAACCGCCAGGACCAGGACTAGAACCGTTGTCAGCCACGTGGGAGTCCAGGGTCCTTAACCGCCATGCCACCTGTCGGCTCTGAAGATATTTTGACAGAGATCATATTCACATAGCTTTTATTACAGCATATTATTATACTTGTTCTATTTCATTATTAGTTATTACTGTTTACCTTTTACTGTGCCTAATTTATAAATTAAACTTTATTATAGGTGTATATATCTATATATATATGAAAAAGTATAGTATGTATAAGGTTTGGTACCATCTGTGGTTTCAGGTCCACTGGGGGTCTTGGAATGTGTCTATGTACCTGCTTCACCAGCACTTGGTATACGTCGGCTCCGCCTTCTCCTGGCCAGATGCAGGCCAGGACCAGCTGATTTCCTCTGCCGCTTCACCTCCTCTTTGTGTTCTTTCCCTTAGCAAAGACCCACCGCTGCACAATCCCCTACTCCCAGTACAGCCAGTACCTGTCGACAGACAAGCTGATCCGCATCAGTGCCCTGGGAGAAGAGAAGAACACCCCTGGAAAAATCCTGGTGGACAAGATTATCACCTTAGCTTATCCAAGCATCATGATTAATGTAGGCAGGAGCCCTGCAAATGGCCTGTGGCTTGGAGGGGGTGGAGCCCTCCTAGAGGGCAGCCTGGGCCTGCTCAAGAGAGTAGCCCCTCCTTCCCTTTGCATCTTCTGATGCCCCAGGAGGGGAGCTTTATCTGCGAGTTCTGCATCCTCTTGTAGCACCAGAGGCCTAATGAATGAACCCTTCTGGGCCATGGACAGTCAGTCAAAGAGAGCTCTTTTCCTGAGCCTTCTCTTGCTGTGAGGACTTCCACAGGGTCAACATGAGGAAACATAAGCCCAGAGGGAGGGTCTCGACCTGGGAAGACCCTGCCTGAAGGTCAGCTCTGATTGGCCATTTCCTAACTTTACATCTTTGGACAAGTTCGGGGCCTCTGTTTCTTGAACTGGCAAGAGAAGAGATTAGACCAGCTGGCTTTCAGGGGCCCCTTCTACTGTGTCATTCTGTGGTCTTCTGAGTGAGAAGATGTCAAGGGCCTCCCTCCTTCCAGTGCTGTCTCCCCAAGTCTCCTGGACCCTACCAAGTGAGACCATGAAGCCCCCTAGTGGGGGAACTCAAAGATTTGATTAGAACATGAGCTTAGCATCTTAGCAAAGAAGTGATACATTTTTGGAGAAGTGACAAGACAGACTTTGAGTCTCTGGGGGTCACAAATTGTGGAAAGGCAAGTGTATGGGAAACTTGGGATAGTCAAAGGCTAGTTAGTAAAGTGTGTCGGGTTGATGCCACTGGAGCCATCTCTAGGCTTATAAGGCCTCACGTTGCCTCAGTGATTCATTTTTGTTCTTCCTGACAGAAGAGGGAAAAATACCCCTTTGTCAATTTATGTACTGCTCTTAGGCAAATAGAGGGCTTTTCTTATATCTGCTTCTTCTCAATTGTTTTCAGCTCAAACAATTCTTATGCCAAAGTGGCATATTTTGGGGTGGCATGTCCGGCCACTCTATGAGCACTGCCTTCCACGAAGGTTCAACATTGGGGAAAAGGACTAATTCTCTACTCCTCCCCTGCTCTGGGTCTGTTTAGGTTCTAGGAGCAGCCGTTGTGAACCAGCCGCTCTCCATACAGGTGATATTTTCAAACCCCCTTGAGGAGCAGGTTGAGGACTGTGTGCTGACCATGGAAGGAAGTGGCCTCTTCAAGAAACAGCTGAGGGTCCTGTAAGTGTTGGGAGTGGTCAGCCTTTGTGTTCATTTATCCTGGGACTGTCACTATCCTTTTCTAGTTGTGAGCTCCCAGGGGAGAGACCAAGAAGCTAAGTGGAGGAGCTGTCAGATGGCATAATTACGTGGCTGACCACAACTCGCATCCCATACTCGGCAGTTTGAAAGTCATGCCAGGCTCATGTGCGTGTGTGCTCAAAATCCTGAGAGGAGAATGGAGGAGAAGGGATTGTGGTGTGGCCATCCCCTCTGGGGGTGATTTCTTGCTTTCTGTCTCTCTGGCAAGTATGTGTGCCCTATAGCAAAAATCTCTCTCTTAAAAAAAAAAAAACTGAGTGGAAAAGGGATTTGGAGTTATTATCACTATGGTTTTCTGATATTCTCTATGCTCTGTTGCAGCATTGGAGTCCTCAAACCTCACCACAAAGCCAGCATCACTCTGAAGACTGTCCCCTTCAAGAGTGGCCAAAGACAGATTCAAGCTAATCTGAGGAGCAACAAATTTAAGGACATCAAGGGTTATAGGAACATCTACGTGGACTTCGGGTTATAAATTCTGGAACAATGAGCTGGACATGTGGACTTTAAGCTCCAGGAAAAGGAACAAGTTCAAATGCACGTTGTGCCTTTCTGCACACACCTGAAATTTCACAGGGCTTCAACGGAGCAGCAGGGGAGATGCCAGCAAACGGCTAGTTCCCTGGGCCTTGTGCATGACTCCTCAAGACTGTTTTCAGGGCCCAGGGATTCCATGGTGTCCCATCCAGATTTCAAATATTTTTTGCACCAAAATAAACTTGTATTTTAAATCCATTTTCCCCACAAACTTTTTTAAGTTCTCTTGTACTTTATCTTTTGTTTTCTACAAGTGTACCATCTTTGTGTCTTGGGAAAAAAGCCTGAGAGAGCTCTCACCCTTGGCCTTCCTTGAATCCCTCAATTCTAACAGTTTCAGCCTCCTCCTTCAATGTCCACCAGTGCATTGTGGTTCTGGATGGCCTCAGATTGTGTGGGTTTCCAGAAACACCAGCTGAATAATAAAATCAGGTAGGCTTTTAGTGAAGAATGGAATACCCTCAAAGTTCTCTATTGGTCACAGCTTGTGCTTGTGGGCACTCAAACCCCACCCTCTCCAGGCCCTACCGAATACAAAGCAATGCCAATCACGCCTTCCTCTCAGACATACACGCTTTCTCAGGGCACTGCAAAGTTCACCATGGAGGGAGGCATGACGCACCTGCTCTCCAGGCACTGGTTATGAGACTAAGATAGCTGTTCTATTAAATGCATATACATTAAATAAAGAAGTTAAAGACTGGGGACTAGCAGGTGGTGATGGTTAAAGTGCCAGAGACTCCCACATGGCTGACATGGTTCGAATCCCAAACCTGGTGGCTTGCTTTCTCACTTTCCCTCTCTCTCTTTCTCTGTGTCTCTCTCTGGTCAAATTTAAATAAATGAATGAATAAATTTAAATTTAAAAATAATTCTATAAAAAAAGAAGTTAAAGACTTCCATTATATTTATAAACAAAAGGCACATGTAGTTCATCAGAGGGAGAGAAGGGGGCGTGGTGGAAATTACATAATAGGTTGATAGTCCTGTTAGAGAGTGGGCAGAGAACCAGGAGCTGGCAGCAGGGAGCTGGAAGTAACCTACAATTATTTCATCCTATAATTATAACCTAACAATAACGAGAAATAGATCAAGGAAAACACTGTGGAAAGGAACATCATACAGAGACAATGAACTCTGAAGTACCTGGAAGATTTTAGCTACCACACCCTCAAACTTTTCATGAGTCCTGATTTTAACACCACATTCATTAACTCTTTCATTCAACCAATATTTACTGAGTTTCCACTAGGAGCCAGGCCCTGAGTTAATTAGGCACTGAGGATTCAAGAAGTACTGGAAGCGGGGGTGGGGGAGTGAGGGGGGGCAGTAGGTGATAGAGTGGTGGGTAAGGCAGCTGGATTCCCACATACCAGACCACGGTTCGCGCCCTGGACCTGGTGGCTTGTGGCTTGAAAATCAAGACCCAGTGGCTTGAAAATCACGCTGAGCATGTGTGCACGCATGCCCAAAATCCTGAGAGGAGAATGGAAGAGAAGGGACTGTGGCATAGCAACCACCCTGGGGGAGGAGAGGGTGATTTCTCACTTTTCCTATCTGCATCTCTGTGTCTCTCTCCTCTTTGGTGAAAGCATGCATCTTATGACAAAAACCTAAAAAAAAAAAAGAAAAGAAAAGAAAAGAAAAGAAAAGAAAAGAAAGGAAAAAAAGAAAAGAAAAAAGAAAGAAAGAAAGAAAGAAAGAAAGAAAGAAAGAAAGGGCCAGGGCTGGCTCTTAAGGGGCTTAAGTCTAAGCATGTGAAAAATGAAAAATAAACAGGAAGTTATAACAGAGTGGTGAGAACCACCATGGGGATAACCCCAGGGTATTGCGGGAGTACTAAGTGGGCCAACTAGTCTAGTTTTGGAATTGTGGTTCAAGGAAGGCTTCACGGAAGAAATGGAATTTAGACTGAAAACTGAAAGACCAAGAGTTGGTCAAATACAGATTCACTGTTGGAAGGGGAGGAGGTGGAGTAAGGCAGCTAGGATCTAAAGTCATTCAGATGGCTAGAGGTCAGAGTGGGAGAGGACAAGTAGCAGGAAAATAATAATAATGGGGCCAGCCCTATAGCCTAGCAGTTAAGGGAGCCAGATCCCACACGGCCAAATGCAGTTCAAATCTTGGTGCTGGGGGCTTGTAAGCCACACTGGGCATGAGTGCATGTGTGCCCCACACCCCAATAGGATAAAGAAATGAAGGAGGATTGCAGCATGATCATGGAGGGGGTATCATCCCCTTGAGGGGTGCTTCCTTCCTCCCCCTCTCTGTCTTTACGTCTCTGTCTGGCAAGCACACATACCCTCTGGCAAATTAAAAATAAATAAATAAATACATTTGTAAAAATAAGCCAAGACCCAGGTAGTCAAGAGTTTCAAAAGAAAAGAAAAGAAAAGAAAAGAAAAGAAAAGAAAAGAAAAGAAAAGAAAAGAAAAGAAAAGAAAAGAAAAGAAAAGAAAAGAAAAGAAAAGAAAAGAAAAGAAAAGAAAAGAAAAGAAAAGAAAAGAAAAGAAAAAAGAAAGAAAGAAAAAGAAAGAAAGAAAGAAAGAAAGAAAGAAAGAAAGAAAGAAAGAAAGGGCCAGGGCTGGCTCTTAAGGGGCTTAAGTCTAAGCATGTGAAAAATGAAAAATAAACAGGAAGTTATAACAGAGTGGTGAGAACCACCATGGGGATAACCCCAGGGCATTGTGGCAGTACTAAGTGGGCCAACTAGTCTAGTTTTGGAATTGTGGTTCAAGGAAGGCTTCACGGAAGAAATGGAATTTAGACTGAAAACTGAAAGACCAAGAGTTGGTCAAATACAGATTCACTGTTGGAAGGGGAGGAGGTGGAGTAAGGCAGCTAGGATCTAAAGTCATTCAGATGGCTAGAGGTCAGAGTGGGAGAGGACAAGTAGCAGGAAAATAATAATAATGGGGCCAGCCCTATAGCCTAGCAGTTAAGGGAGCCAGATCCCACACGGCCAAATGCAGTTCAAATCTTGGTGCTGGGGGCTTGTAAGCCACACTGGGCATGAGTGCATGTGTGCCCCACACCCCAATAGGATAAAGAAATGAAGGAGGATTGCAGCATGATCATGGAGGGGGTATCATCCCCTTGAGGGGTGCTTCCTTCCTCCCCCTCTCTGTCTTTACGTCTCTGTCTGGCAAGCACACATACCCTCTGGCAAATTAAAAATAAATAAATAAATACATTTGTAAAAATAAGCCAAGACCCAGGTAGTCAAGAGTTTCAGGTGGCAATCTAAGAAGTTAGGACCACGACCAGTTCAGGTATGTTTCCTCTAAATCTTAGGTCACCCTGCCTGTAACGTCAGAGCTTCATTGATTTTTACTTGCAGAGCTGAACAGACCTCATGTGAATTAAGCACTTAAGGGACAAGCACTTCTCCACACTGGTCTGTCTTGGAACTTGCAATTCCCAACAGAGTCACTCCTTAGAGTTAAGGCCTTGCTTGAATGCAAAGGTTGTCCTTCCTTCCTTCATTTAGCACCTATTGAGTACTCATGAGCTGCATGGTTAGGCCTGGGGATAGAGTGGTCAACCAGGCAAATAAGGTCCTCTCAAACCTGTCCCCACTGTCAGCCTCCCAACCCCTCAAGGTCCAACCCCACTGGAACTCAGTATCATTTTCTTACAATATTCAGTTCTCCTCCCAGTGAAAAGGAGCCTTGAAAGGATTTTTGAAGGAATTCCCTTTTCCTCATTGTATATAGGCCTGGTAGATCTATCAGCCAGGATGCCTTCAGTTCCATGGCCAAGAAGTGGCATGGAACTAGCCCTGGACCAATCAGGCTTTTCTCCCAGGACTTGACTGCAGAGTGGAATGAGCCAGAGAAGGCAGAAACCTGGAGCCAGTCCATCTCAGCAGCAGAGAGCCAGAGAGAGACTAGCTGTCCA